ATTACATTGTCCTCATTTGTAAGTCGCTTTGGATAAAAACGTCTGCTAAATGACTAAATGTAAATGTAAACGTATTAATTACTTAAAAAAATAATTTTTTAAACAGTAGTGTAGGCCTATGTAAGAATGCATTAATGAATGATTAACACAGAAATCTCTCCTCACGTTTCATGAATAAGGCCCCTTGTTCTCTAAACCAGTGTTTCCCAACCGGGGTGCTGCGGCACTGGGGTGCCGTGTAAAAAATCCTTTTTTAATATTTTTAAATTGCTAAAATGTTCAAAAAAGCATCTATTATATAATTTGGATAATTGGTAAAAAAAAGTTAAATATCTTAACCCTACTGTTAGACCTACCCGAAAAACTAAAAAGAAATTTATTTAATTTGAAGGCCTGTCGTTATTTTTTTATTTGTGCTGTCATTTATTAATTTCTTTATTTTTCTTATTTTATTACTGACTGCTTGTCATTTTTTTTATTCAATTCAAAGTTTGAAATCAAGCTATCTCGTGCTACTGCACCAAAATTACCCCACTGTAAAATCAAAAAAACACTGAGTGAGCAAAAATTTGTGAGATAGCTAGTTATAATGGTAATTAAATAACGTTTACATATGTATAAAAGCCTACATTAAAATCTGTCATATAAATTGGTCTCTTCATTAGAAATTAGCCTACTGATTGCCACCATTGATGGACAATTTTTTTTAATAATATTAAAAATATCTGTATGACATTATATTCTGCAGTTCTTCCCTGTTGTACCCAATATCTATACTTTTCAAATTATCATATCGAAGTTAGAAATTCAAATATTGTGACAAAATTAATTTTGTAGGGTGCCACAAGTTTGTTAAAAATTTCCAAAGGGTGCCGCGACTAAAAAAAGGTTGGGAAACACTGCTCTAAACTACAAAGTAGTCTATTTTTGCTAAAAAACTAATTGTTTCTTTAATGGGACAAGATATAAAGTCAGTTACCAACAGCCTCGTAAATATTTCTTCTCTCTGCAACAGTTATCTCCATATCAGCCACTTTCAAGTCGAGGGCTGCGCTCTTCTCTTGCATTTGCACACCTTGTCTGTCCAGGTGCTTTATCTGTTTCTTGCAAGCCTCAACTTTCTTTTGATGAGTCTGGGCAAATAGTGAAACAAACCAAACTTTTATATCTGTCAATGAATTTGATTCATGTAATTATCCAGATTGAATTTACAACAAAGGAACACCTGCGCTGAGAAATATGCGTCTGGAAAAGTTACTCTGTGCCTAATATCTTTGCTATGCACTTAAACAGTTATGAGCAAGTTTACCGTTTTCTGTAGAGCAAGGGTCGTCTCCAGAGTTGTGAGCTGCTTTGACACCCTATTGTCATTACTGGTTTCATTTAGGTACTGATGTGAGAAAAACACAAAGAAAGAAATATTTGTAATTGTAATAATATTTCATTCAATTTCACTTTTAAGCAAAGACAAAGGTAGTCCTGAGCCATAGTGTCTTCTTATCTTAAATCGGTTAAATCATCCTTTTTCAATTTTCACTAGCTTACTTTGTCAATCTTATACCTGTAAGGTAAAAGACACTAAATGAATGAAGATTATTTCAAGCAATATTACTTTAAATGAAAGACTACAGATTAAATCCATACATACATCTTGAATCTCCTGAGTGATGCGCAGGGTCTGTATGTCTCTGGCTTTATTGCTGAGATCCTCCAGTTGCATTCTCATTCTCCTGTGATCCCACTCCTGCTGTATGATTCCTTTGCGGAAGTCTTTACACTCCACCATGCTGGCGTTCTTCTGATCTCCTAAAGCCTGACAGATAAGAATGTAGTAGATAAGTTATTTGATCATTTAAGTCAAATTAACCTCAAATTGAGAATACAGTATTTAAATAAAAACAATAACTGAAACTCTCTTGTGATAAAATATTATCAAAAGTGCCATTGTGGTTGATCAATAGTTTTTATTTGTTGAAATAATCTAAATTTAATTGAATCAACTGTTGGTCTTTATGTGTCAATTTACCCACTTCATTTATTTCTAGTGCAAACTGCCATTGATGATGATTGTCCAGATTTCGTTTTGTGCTTAGTTTCTGGTTGATGCACAGAAACAATCAGCAATATTAAAATGGATGCGCGCTGATTATGAGTAAGACCATAGTGATTTAGAGTGTGAGCAAAATTGAAATGAAGAGAAAGATGAGTAATTCTGTGTACCCTGATGGTGCTGTTGAGGTCCTCGGTTACTTTGCGATGTATTAGCAGAGCATTAGTAAAATTAGCAATGAAGTCTCCAGCCTCCACCTCCACCTGACCTTGCTGTAGAACGATCTGCACCATACTGTCTAGTCGAAACCTCATCTTTTCTTCACAGATGCTAGGACAATAATAATAATGGTCATGGATACTCAATAACATCCTATACCCAGTGCGCTTTCATTTTTATAACCAACTGTTTCCTCACCTATTGAGTTCATCAATCAGATTTTTTATTTCAAGCTGAGCTTTCTCGTCCTCATCTGTTCTCCTCTGAAGAAAAGCCTGCATCTCCGCCAGGGTCAATGCTTTTAGTTTGACCTACAGGAGTCAATGTTACAAGGCAATTTTGGATTTTGAGGAACATGGCTTAAGATGTGATTTGGGTGACTTCTAGCACATTTGCGCTCTCTCTACCCATTCTCACCTTTTGTTCACTTTCCACTTTGGCCCGTCTGGCCAGGCAAAACCTCTCCCACACAAACGGATCTAATCCTTCTGGCATGTTCTCTGGTGCGTCCAATTCTTCCATGGCCTTCATCATCAGAGACAGTCCATCAGATGGTGCAGTTCCTAATAGTGCTCCCTCTTTAAACTGGTTATTTTCAGTCTGTGTTTTTATCCTCTGAACCCTGTTAAACAACACCATCACTGTTTTCAAAGGTAACTAGTCAGACAATCACATGTCTTATGCACGTGTCTTATGAAGTTGTAACTCCTCTGAAATAATACCTTGGTCTGCGTTTGTAAAGCTTATAGAGCTGGTCAATTATGTGTCCTGGAACGTCAAAAAACTCTTTGCGAAATCCTTTGTCAAGAAGCTTAAAAAAAGGCAAATTATTTATTAAATTATACTTTCTTGGTGAGAACATTATGGATATGTATATGCAAACATGTTCATAATCTTACTTTGTCCTCAGTGACTGTGTTATCATACTCCTCTCTAAACTCATCAACAGTCTCCTTGTGTTTTTTTAATTCCTCCCCAATTTCATTCTGACAGGAAAGAGAAGTGACTCATATACTTCAACGTGCAAAACAATCAGTCTCACAGGAACGGATTAGCGTGCCACACAAATTTGTTCTTGCATGAAATTTTTGTCTCATCATCAGGAACATTATAATTGTCTCGTGTTATAACTGCCAATTTCTCACGTTATATAAAGTTACTGTGAACAGACAACAGCAAGGCTGAAAAAAAGATAAAAGATAGAATATCTATAGATCACCTTTACAATTCGTGCCTTTTCAAGTTTAAGACTCATCTGTTTCTCTCTGCTTAGGAGCTCTTCTTCGGTTTGAATGGAGTGAACCAGATTTGTAATCTTGAGCTCCTCCTGAAAGATAAAAACTCACAATCTATAATCGGAATCTGAATCAGAATCAGAATGAGCTTTATTGCCAGGTATGTTAACACATACGAGGAATTTGTTTTCATGACAGGAGCTTCCACAGTGCAACAGAATGACAGTGACAAGACAAAACACAGATAATAAAAGAATAAAAATAGAATAAGTAAATAAGGAATAACAATATACAAATTGATAATATTGTACCTACAGGTATATTACAATAGACAATTTTGTATGTACAGGTATATTATGTGCAATAATATACCTGTACATACAAAATTGTCTATTGTAATATACCTATAATCAGTGTTGGGAAGGTTACTTTGGAAATGTAATAGGTTACAGATTACAAGTTACCCTATTTAAAATGTAATAGTAGTGTAACTTTTTCAATTACTTTATTAAAGTAATGTAACTGATTACTTTTGATTACTTTTTTATTACTTTTCTAAATTTCTAATGAATGTTTACATGTAACTAGTTACTCCCCAACACTGCCTATAATTATATTACAATATATATATATTGTAATTATATCTATTAGTATTAGATGTGCAGTTACTGTTACATAACTACAATTATGTGACTGCACACAAAAGGCCCCTGAAAAGGTGACATGAGGTGCAACTGTATCATCTTACTTGGTATATGACCATCTCTGATTTCACTTTCCTTTCAAACAGCTTTGTGAGTTTTTCATCAAACATCTGAGTAGCCTCTTTAATAGAAGTCAGCAGTTTCTTCATTTCTGTCTCTAGCGTCTAAAGAAACAGGAAAAGGGGTCCACCATATTAAAATGATTGGAAATGGAAGGGAGTGATTGATAATAAGAACAGTTCACCCAAATATGCAGATTTGACATTAATAATGCCAAGCACAATTGGTTTTCGCATTTACTGTGACATATTTTAGAGCAGTAAATTTTGCTAACAAGACTTTGTGATATCTGTTTCTCACAAAAAAAGTTATTGGATGGTATCAGATGATTTGTAATACAGTATATGCATTGAAAGACCACTTTGGTGTCTTTGTTTTCATTTTTGAAGCCTGACAGTTAAAACCTATAGAATTTTGGATGAAGTATCCCTGTAAGGTGTTATCCAAGTCATACTTTTCTGTATTTCTCTTTCTCCTCACTGAGCTCCTTTGCTTTTTTCTCAAACTCTTTGAAGCTCTTTCTCTCTTCTTCTGTCCACTGTACCTCAGGTTTAGACATGAACTCAGGCCGAGGTACTTCCTGTAAGATAAGCATATTTTGAATGTTACTTTGCCCTGCCTTTATCTTATTTTTGGTAAGTAAGTTTATGTATTCCAGTAAGATTCATTCTGCTCACCATCCTCAGCACATCCTCTTTTTTAAGCTCCAGAACTCCACCCATCATGACACTGAGCGCTTGATCTCTCATGTTGTCAGACTTGAAAATGCAGAAAAGTTGTTGTCATCTACAGCATGAGACAAACTGATATATCTATGTTACAGTTTCTGCCTATATAAGATAGCTTTCATATTTCAGTTTAATGCATTATATATACTACACTACTTTTTAAAAGTTCAAAAGTCTCTTATTCTCACCAAGTCTGCATTTATTTGATCAAAATAAATCGCTAAATATCATTACAATTTAAAATAACGGTTTTCTATTTTAATATATTTTAAAATGTAA